TTATTGGAGAAAAGTAAGACTAATGTAGTTTTTTGAGACACACATGCAAACAAAATGGCAACGCAGTTCAGAAGTTAAGATGTATAAAATAAGGTGCTCAGAAAAGACAGGCTGGCGGTGGAAAAAGAAACTGGCCTAGACGGATAGATGTCACATTGTTGAGTGTACGGAGGCTAGGACTTCGGGCGTTTCTTTTTGGAACAGCTCTGGAAGGAAGTGTAGATTCAGCAAAAGCCTAGGTTAGTTCGGACCTGTCAAAGAGGGAAAAAAGATAAACGTAGGATGCAATGTGGGCCTTCCCACAGCAAAACTCGAGCAAAAGAAGAGGGGCCGAGGTAGAATGACAGTTTGGCTTTTGAATGCCATAACTGTGATGCTTTTGGGTTGTGGTGTGGGAGCAAAGATTGAGAGGAAAAGACCCATTCAATAGCATAAGGAAGTAGGAAATTCGTTAGGGAAAAAAATGACAGTGGCTTTTCATTTACAACAACAACAACAAAAAAAAATTGGCTTGGCCTTCGGAGTATGAACTGAGGTATTTGGGAATCTGGTGCCAGAGGTTCACCACCAGCCTGAGTGACATAGAGCGAACCCTCAATCAAAAAATGCAGCGAAAATGGCACTCCCAGGGCAAGTAGGAATAGCTACACTCTACACTCTCACTATGAAGCCAGGTAACAGATGCAAACAAACACCACTGAAACAGTGAGTGTTGCAGACTTACTTAGACTTTGGCACACCAGGTGATACTCTTTGTGTAATTGAGGCACAGAAATCGCAAATTACCATCCTAAGCAAGCAGAGTATTTTGGCACAGAGGTGCCCCTAATTTGGAGCCTTTGTTTTGTTTTTGTTTTTGTTTTTCTTAAAAACAAAACAGGACACTATGCTATCTCCTGGACAAGCTAGCCCCAGCAGGAACGCACATGGGAGCGTGTACTGGGCCCAGGTCTGCTTTTTACAGCTAGCCGGTTGATCAGAATTGGGCTGTAACCTAGAGCTGATGTTGATTTTAAGTGGCAGGGGCTGTTTTCTTTCTTTGGTCTTTTGTGTTTGCTTGAGAACATTTAAAATTTGCTTTTTGGCCCTATAACTTCCTTCCTTCACTAGAAAACCAAATTGTAGTGTGCCTTGGTTAAGATAAAAGGTTGAGCCTCAAGTTTACCTTCTCAGACTGCACTGCATTCTGTTGCAGAGGTTTTAGCAGGGTGTGCTTGGGTAGAAGAAAAGCTTGGTGGGTGTTTTGGGCAGGCAAGAATTGCGAGAAGCAGGACCTCTAGTTAGAAGATTATAGTGATTCTACAGACAGTGTTGTATTCAGTGTCATCACAGTTGGATAACTTAACAGTGTCTGGCCTATAGTAGGTGTTTAACAAGTAAATGGGCAAAAAGAGCCCTGTACAAACACAGCTTTTGGGGAAAATGAAAGGGAGGATGACTAGAGCTGCACAATTGGGCCTTTTGTGCAGCAAAGGGAAGGAAAGGGGGGATTGCTGACTTAGTTCCTGGGAAAGACATTTTTATGAACTAAGCATTTAATGACTTAATGCCAGATCCTGACAGTGTGTTAAGGTTGGTGATAGTGCAGTCTCAGCACTTGCTTTGGGATTAGAGAAGTTTCATACTCAGTTGTGATTGGGGTTTGGGGCTATCCCCTGCTGCTTGAGGGTGAACTTGGGTAGTGTATGTAATTACCACCACTGCCCAGCCTGCTTTCTTCTCTATCAAAGGTCATGATATATGCTACGTGGTGTTTTAGAGTTACATTAACTTGTAAAGTGCTTACTGGTGTGTAGTGAGTGAACACTGAAGTCTAGTTACCATTAATTTCTCCTGGGAAGAAGAGTTACAAGGCTCATAGGCTTTGGGTATCCTGAAAAAATTGAGAGAGTAGGCAGGAGCTTTGTAAGACCTAAACTTGCTCCCTCTGTGGGGAAAATTCTCACAGGAGCTGAACACAGGTTAAACAGAAGGCTGAGCCAAGATGTAAACTTAGAAGTGGGAGGTAGCTGGGTGAAGGGGCAGATGGTTAGGAAGGAGGCTACACAAGTCCAAGTACTGGAAAGTGGGGGGGGGGGGGGGGGGGGGGGAAGGGGGGGGGGGATGAGGAAGTACAGAGAGTGGCCACGAGGCACTGTGTTTCTGACAAGTTCTTTCTTGGAGGACGAGATGAGTTAGTGGGACTTTTCCTGGAGGGAGATTAATTTTATTGGTAGAAATGGAAAAGAATTATTTAATGGTATTTAAATATAGTGTATATTTGCTGCATGCCAAATATTCCTTATACCTCTGAATCCATGGAGTAACTGCTGGCTAATCAGAAGTGTCAACATATTTCAGATGAGAACTGATTACTGGGCAAATTTAACAGTGTCCTAAGGTAGCAAGCTATTCTGTGGCTCAACTAGGATTCAGCCCTAGGTCTGCTTGCTTCATGCTGATGTATGTAAGTTTAAAGGTGTTTTGCTCTATGAAAGCTTCACTCTGGCCCTTGGTTCTTTTCTTTTTCTTTTTGGGGGAGTGGTTGTTTGAGACAGGTCACTCCCTGTAGCCTGGACTGACCTGGAATTTGCTATGTAAACCAGGCTGGCTGAACTCAGTCTCCCAAGGCCTGCAATTAAAGGCATATGCCATTGTGCCTAGCTTGGCCCTTGTTTTCTTTCTGGACTTAAGATGCCTGAGAAAGTTTTCTTCTGGATCATTGGAGTTAGTGGGGCTGTCCAAAATTAAGGGCTCTAGATAAAATTTTTGTTGTTTCTGTAGCAATAGATTGTCCTTTGACTTGGGCCATTTGATTCATGAAAGAATGTTTGAACAGAACTGGAGAGGTGGCTTAGTGGTTAAGATCACTGGCTGCTCTTCCAAATGCTTTGGATTCAGTTCCTAGCATCCACATAGTGACGGTAACTCCAGTTCCTGGGGATCTGATTCTCTCTCTTGGCCTTCGAGGGCATTGAACACCTGGTCTACAGACATAATACAGGCAAAACATCCATAGGCATAAAATAAGTCTTTAAAAAAGAATCTCAAAAGAATAATAAAATATCTAATAAAGAGCTCAAAGCATGTGCCAGAGGGTCTGGGTGAATCCTCAGACCTGAAGGACAGGATGCAAGTATTTCATGCGACATGGAGTTTGCATTCCTCTGCTTTTATATGCAGAGTAATAGCCCTGGGCTGCAGTGTATTAACTGGATATTGTGTTAGTTGTAATATATAACTATGCTGTAGGACTGGCCAGGCTAGCCATTGGAAGCTCTAGGGTTACACAAAAATAATTCCAGGTGAGTTAGACATTTTAAAAGTACTAGAAGAGAACCAGAGAGATGGCTTAGTGGGTAAAAGGCCTCTGCTGTTAAACCTGATGGCCTAACTAAATAAAGTATATTTTTTAAGTACTAGAAGAAAAATATTGTGGGATAGCCTGCAGCATAAAAGCCCATGCAGAAATCACAGAGGAAGACTTGGAAACATATACATACAAATTAAGCTGTAGTTCTAAGTATCAAATAGAATAAGCTAAATTGAAAAACAAAGTGGGGTGTTGGGATGTAACTGAGTTGATAGAGTGCTTGTTTAGTATGCATGGGTTCAATTCCCACTGCCATGTAAACGAAATGTGGCGATGCATGTCTGTGTTCCCAGCACTTGGGAGGCAGAGTATTATAAGTTTAAGATCATTCTCAGCAACATAATGTGTGAGGCTAGCCTGAGCTACAGTGAAAGCCTGTGTCGATTGTTTTTTAAAAACTTAAAAAAAACAAAAAACAAAAAACACAAAAACAAAATGGGGGACTTGGGAGATGGCTCAGCTGGTACAGTTCTTCTTGTACAAGCTTGAAAACTGAGTTCAGATCTCAAGTGCTCATGTAAAATCTGTCTGCTGTAATACATACCTAATCCCAGAGCTGGGAGGAGAGGAAGATCAGCCAGCAGACCTTGTCTACAAAAATAAAGGTGGAGAGCGATTGGGGAAGGTACCCAAAGAGAACCTCTGACCCCCACATGCGTGTACACCTACACATAAGAAGCTGGGGAGGGAGGTGGACAAAATGGGAAAAATACTTGCAATGTAATAGGATTATTAATAAAGAAAATTTAGAGACCAGAAGACGGTAAAATAGGGGAGTCTTAGTTCAGTAAAGAAAAACAAAAAACTAAAGTGTCAGATACATTACCATTTCACAGGGGATAAGGACCTTCCCAATAATACATACCCTGTGTCCTAGCAATTCTGCAATAAGGAATTTATCAGAGGGGTAGCTGACTGTACCAGCCAAATACTTTTATTCTCTGTTTAGTAAACTTTGTCAAATGGTTAGGATGCGTACCACCTCTCTTCTCTTGCTGTTGTTGTGTGGCTCAAGCTCACTTGGGATTTGCCCAGGCTGGCCTCATAACCCTTGATCCTCCTACCTCAGCCTCTGAATGTTGGCACTACAGGCATGTATCACCATGCAAAGTTCAGTGACACACACACACACACACACACACTCTGTGTAGGTCAGAGGAAAGCTTAAAGGAATCTTGTTCTCTCCTATTTGGGTCACAGGGATTGGACTCAGGGTGTCAGGCTATTTTTTTTTTTTTAATTTATACATATAAGCGTTTTGCCTGAGTATGTTTATGGGCCACTAGGGTGCCTGGTACCCATGGAGGCCAGAAAGGAGGGTGTTGGAGCCCTTGGAGCTGGAGTTACAGATGTTTGTAAGCTGCCATGTGGGTGCTGAGAATCAAACCTGATTCCTCCAGCTGAGCAGCCAGTGCTCTTTACTTTGGAGCCATACCCTTCCCCATCAAACTGTTTTGCCCATGGATCCCAGGGCTTCACTGAGGCATGCATGCTAGGCAAGCTGTCTGCCATTGAGCTATGCTGTATCCCTGGTATCACTCTTAAAGGCTGTTTAGTAGCTTATAGTCTCTACACACAGTACTGTATTCTGCTATATAGTCCTTAATCCTTTGCCCTGATTGACAGGCTGAAACCTTATGTCTTGCAGATGCTGTTGATGGCGTGATGAATGGTGAATACTACCAGGTACAGAGTACTCTAACTATATTAAATGATAGTAAACTGGAGTCTTAACTGTGATTTAAATTGGTTGACCCAAAAAGAGACCCCCGTGCTGGTACATTATCTATCAAAGTGGAAAGTGGCATTGATAGGAAGAGCTTAAAAAGCAAGAAACAATCTCACTATGTTGCCCTGGCTAGCCTGTAACTTGCTGTGTAGACCAGGCTGGCCTTGACCAGGCTGCCTCTGAATTAAAAGTCTGAGCCACCACACGTGGCTTTCATTTTGTTTTAGGACAAAGTCATAATATGTAGCCCAGGTTGGCCTTGAACTCATGACATTCCTCCTGCCTCAGCTTCCCAAGTGTTTGGAGTCTAGGCATAAGCCTCTATGTCCAACTGAGAGCACTGTTTTAAAGGTTATCGAGTTTTGCTGTCTTTTTTTTTTCCTCAAGAACTGATCATGATGATGGTGGCCAGTTTAAATACTGTGTGCCATGTACTATGTCACACACTATAAAAGTCACTGGTACTTTATTGTTTTTTGTTTGTTTGTTTGTTTGTTTGAGACAAAATATGTAGCCCTAGCTGTCCCAGAATTCACTAGGGTAGGCCAGGCTAGGTTACCTCCCAAACTTTGTCCGCCTCTGCCTCGTAAGTGCTGGGATTTGCCACCAAGCCTGGCAGTCACTAGAACTTCAATTCTCCTTTTGTCTTAGAGTCTAAGAAGATTAAACTGGTGACAATCCTCAGTGGTCTGATAGTATAACTCTCAAATCAGTTAGCAGCTGGGAGGTTTTGTCGGCTTGTTCTTAGCTCTCAGCCTTACCCACTATAGAGAAGTGTTCTTGTGCTCAGTGACTCACAGTTACGGCCTTTTTATTCCCCCCTCTGGTTTGACTATAGTCATTAGACATTTTCTTTTGGATTCTTTCTTAGAATTTATTGTTTTGGTTAGATGTTATTAACTGACTTTCTTGCATGATAAAATAACACTTGAAGTCTTCAGTTCTTAGCTTGCCTTTGCTATGTGCATAGCTCTGTTACTTTGGAGATAACATATAATCTCTCTGTCAAGTGAAGAAACAAACTGATAACAGTTTCCTAATATGTCCCTTATCCACACAACCTCAACTTTCCTATCACCCACTCAATGTCCCACTTATTAACAGATCCAACTACTCTGCCTCCCTCATGAGAGTGCAAGAATTCGTGGCAGTAATGCTGAAAGCTCTGGTGGCTTGTAAGGTTCTGTTGTTGCTTTAAGTGATCCTTTAATGTTCTATGACAGCTAGCCGTGCTGTGTGGCTTGAGGTTCTAATTTTTATGAAGAACATTTCAGGAAGGCTGAAATAGGGTACTAATAGAGTGTGTTATTGTTTTGTGTTAAGGAGAGTAATGGTCCAACAGACAGTTATGCAGCTATTTCAGAAGTGGATCGATTGCAGTCAGAGCCTGAAAGTATCCGTAAGTGGAGAGAAGAGCAAACGGAGCGCTTGGAAGCCCTTGGTAAGGAATCCCGTTTTGTCCTTCGGTGTCTGTTTTCAGTGGAGTAGTTGACCTGGACTCTGCTTTATCCCTGTTAAGCTTAGATTAGCCATAATGTCCTTGTCTGGTCTTTGGGAAGTTGTATTTTCCAGCCTAAAGGTTGCAGGGTCACAAGGCCACTGACATGGATATGTTTCATCATAGGCTATTACATGAGGAGCATGGTAGTGGGGAGACAGCTCCCCCAGGAAGAGCCACCATCTTGAAGTAAAGGCTAAGCTAGGATTTCGTCTTACTGTGGGCACGTGCTTCAGATCTTTCATTGTGTTAGTGTCTGAAAGGAAACCGTGTTCTTGACCTCAAACTGATTGCTAGTTACAGGGTTTATGGAGACTTGAGGTACCATCCTGTGAGTGACATTTCCCAATTCATTCATCATTTGAAAGATGAATCAGTGTTAGGAAATGTGTTAGTAATAGTAACTTCCTATTGCTATGATGACATAGTATAAAGTCAGTGTAAAAGAGGAGGGTTTAATTTGGCTCACAGTTTCAGAAATGGGCCACTAGCTCTATTACTTTTAGGTCTGGCAAGACGGAAACTTCATGGCAGGACAGACAGAAGAAATCTGTTCACCTCATGGCAGCTAGGAAACAGCCCGGGAAGCCAAGGACAACATAGACCTTTAAAGGCACTCTTCGTAGCCACCACCTCCCAGTGGTCCATTCAGTTGTGAATCAGTGGATTGATTCATTAATTAGGTTAGATCTCTGTGGTCCAGTCACTTTCTAACAAATAGCACCATGTGCGCCGCCCCCCCCCCCCCTTTTTAAGTTTCATATGAATGTTTTGACTACATGTATGTTTGTTCCACCTGTGTGTCTGGTGCTCGACATGTAGGCAAGGGTAGCTTAGAACACACAGAGATCTTGCCTGCCTCTCTGCCTACTAAGTGTTGAGATTAAAGGCTGCACTGTCATGCCCAGCTCTTAGATGATTTTCCTTGTAGTTATATTGTGTATCTGTGTGCCTGTGTATACTCACTTAATTTTAGATTTGTTGTATTTTGTGTACATAAATGTTTTGCTTACATGTTTTTATGTGTACCATGTGTGCCAAGTGTGCTTGGTGCCTTCAGAGGACAGAAGAGGGTGTAGGATCCCTTGGAACTGAGATGGGTAGTTGTGAGCCAGCACGTGGGTGCTATGAACCTCAAATGCTTCTGCTGTAGGAGCAAGTGCTTTTAACTACTGAGACATCTCTCCAGTCCTGTATATACATGCTTTATAGAAATTCTTGCACATACTTTTGTTTTGGCTGATCTGCTCTATCATACAGACATGACTTCCTATGTTATTCTTTTTTTTTTTTTCCCCAAGACAGGGTTTCTCTGTGGCTTTGGAGGCTGTCCTGGAACTAGCTCTTGTAGACCAGGCTGGTCTCTAACTCACAGAGATCCACCTGCCTCCTGAGTGCTGGGACCAAAGGTGTCTGCCACCAACACCCAGCATGTTTTATTCTATAACTCTAGAAATACCTCACTCTTCATGTACTGGCACCAGTAGTAGGTTTCTCCCAGAACACTGACCTAGTGAAAACATGACTCCTTATTTTTCAGGTGGGGTAACTGACACCTGGAAACAGGAAAGAACTTGACCCAAATAACCTAAGCAGTTAATGCCAGATCTTTTATCCCTAGCACAGTTTTCAAAGCTTTCAGAACAAAGAGTGACCCTGCATAGCAGTACTTGGTATAGATACCTGGTATCTATACTGATGGCCAATTGGTCTTTGTTTTTAATAAAGTTTGTGTTGTGTCAATACATAATATAGTAGCCATTTGATAAAGTAGTGTGTGTATGTGGTAATAAACAATTTAGTAGCCAGTGACCACATGTGGGTATTCAGGTACGCATGACTGGAATTCAGGTGCTCAGTCTTAAAACACTGTTCATTTTTAGTAAGCTTATACTCCAGTTGCAATGTGTGTCTGGAAACTAATGTATTGGAGAGTGTAGCTTCAGGGAGATGAATAACAGGCTGCTGGGTGTCTGTGCCTTTATTGAAGGAGAGTTTGTCTTCACAGACAGAAGTCTCTTTTTTAAAAAAATTACCCAGTTTGTGTATTGAACTATTTGAGAGTTTTTTTTTTTTTTTTTTTTTTTTTTAAGAGGTCTTCTCCCACCTCCACAGAGCCTCACAGTGTAGCCCTGCTTGGCCTAACATTTGTTGTATAAACCAAACTGGCTTTAAACTTACGATCCTCCTAAGTGCTGAGATTACAGGTGTGCATCACCACTCCCAGCTCAAGGTAGCTTCTTGAGGGAAGTCAAGCATTTGGCCTTGTATTTCAGTCAGACTGTCACAGATTAGGGGTTTCTGCAGTTTCACCCTTCTCTCTGCAAGAACGGAGAAGGCACAGATGTTAAAATAGAGCTGGTGGCCATGTTCTCAAATAATCTTGCTCTAAGGAGCAATGAGGGTGGCTGGGGAAGAAGGTGCCTGTCAGTGTGCCTTGCTCTCTAAGGAGACTCTTCCTTTCTGCTCACCTAAGTCTCTGTCCCACCAGGTTAAACCCTAAGGATTCTGAGTTACTTCTCGTGGTAGTCCTAATCAGCAAGGCCAGAAGACAAATGTCCTGTTATAGATGGTCACAGTTTTACTTCTGTTAGACCAATCCTTCTTAGAAAAATGTCTGTCTATTCTAACCCCAACATCTAATAATATAGACTAGCTGTGTGATACATACCTCTAATCCTAGCACTTGGGAGACAGACAAGTGTGAGGCCAGTCTGGGCTGTATAGCAGGTTATTGTCCATTTTGGGCTACTTTATGAGACTCTGAAAAAAGAAAGATTTTTTTCCCCTAAAGACTGAATCTGGCTGGGCGTTGGTGGTGCACGCCTTTAATCCCAGCACTCGGGAGGCAGAGGCAGGCGGATCTCTGTGAGTTTGAAGCCAGCCTGGTCTCTAGAGCGAGTGCCAGGATAGGCTCCTAAGCTACACAGAGAAACCCTGTCTCGAAAAAACAAACAAACAAAAAAGACTGAATCTGTCTGTTATGTATCACTTATATCTTTGGCTGTCCTGGAACTTGCTATGTAGATCAGGCTGTTCTCAAACTTCAGAAATCCACCTGCCTGTGCCTCCCAAGTGCTGGGATTAAAGGTGTGTAGCACCATGCCCAGCCCTAACAAAAGCAATGATCATTAGAATACATGGAAAGGATATATTCCAATCTAAAAGCACTTAAATATTTTTAAATTTTTCCTTATTTGTTGGGGAACCTGCATAAGACTGAATTAGACTCCCTTAATATAGGTGACAGTGGTTCGAGTGGGATAATGTATGAGGCCATTGGCAGTGGGTCCAAGATCTAACTCTAGTCACAGTCTGACTTGATGGAACCCATTCTATATGGAGAGATACCTTGCCCAGCCTAGACACAGGGGTGGAGAGGTGCCTTGGTCCTGCCTCAGCTAGAAGATGGGACAGACTTAGTAGACTTCCTAGGGAGGCCTCTGTGTCCTTACTTGTGTGTGTGTGTGTGCTCGTGTATACGCATGCACTCATGCTTTTGCTTTGATGTGCACGTGGAAGCCACAGGGATAGCTTTAAGGAGTTGGTTCTTTTCTTCTACTGTAGGGATCCAGAGAGCGAACATGGGACATCAGGCTTACACGGCAAGTGCTTTTACCCACTGAGCTATCTTGCCAGCCCAAAAAGGGCTTTTTGGGAAGTAATTCCACTTTGCATCTAGGTTTGGTAGAAGCTTTTTAGTTCCTTGAACTTCATCAACTTCCAGAATCCTCTGTTCTACGTGTGCTGTGGACAGGACCATCAGAAGTTTCCTGGCTGTATATTAGAGTCCTTAGTGGAAACTCCAACTAAATGAGTCCCCCCTGAGTGCTAGGCCATCTTCTAATGAGTTCAACAACAAAATGGAGAGCTTGTAATAATGACGTGAAACTTGGCAGTGACTCCTAATCATCACCAGGCTACTCCAGCTAGCTGTAGCCTGTGCTGATTATTGGTGCATTTCTTGCAAAGGTCATAAAAGTGCCCAGGAATGCTCTGTTTCTTCAGATGATGACTTGGCATCACCTTACTTTCTACCTCCTTCTCCAGGATACTAATTACAGCTTTCGCTCTTGCTCTGTGTTTTTAGAACTCTCTGGATTACTGGTAGCCTTGATGGTCACATCATGTGATTATTTCCAGGCTTGCATAATAAGGAAGTCAAGTGTGAGCTTGAGAGCAGACGAGGTCTTTGCTCTGCCCTTAACTGTGCCAAGTCCACTCAGTCTTCTGAGGTGGTTTGTTTCTTTTCCCCTCACTGCTGAAAATGGACCTAGATTGATCTTGGGAGTACTGTACAGATTTCGATGCATGTAAAACACTTGCTGGAGGGGACGCCCTTGAGAACATGTGACCATTAGAGTGAGCTCAAGTGCCAAGCACACTACACCTTGTGACAGATGATGGTCAGCTAAACACTTTAGAAAAACCATATTTAATCTTAAGAAGCTTCACATTTGGTCTGGGAAGATGGCTAAGAGCATTTGTTGCTCTTGCAGAGGACCCAGGTTCAGTTCCTAGCACCCACATGGCAGCTCACAACTGTCTGTAACTCCATTTCCACAGGTTCTCATGCCTTCTGACCTCTGGGTACCTGCATTCTCGAATGCACACACATTTACACACAGGAATAACAACAACAAAAACGTAGAGAAAAGACATTTCATGTTTGAGAATCCAGACTAGAAACCCTGCATGTGTGAGTTTTCTCCCTCTCGTGTTTTGAGTAATTCTGGGTGATTGTCAAACAGTGATCCCGTGTCCTTGGTCCTGCAGTCCCCTCCATCCCTGCTTGCTTTCACAGCTGGCTCTGTTACAAGCTAACTCCGTCTGTGGCTCTGTGTCCTACCAGTCCTGGATTCCCAAGTCACTTCTGCCTCTGCTAATTTTCTTCTTAGACCTGCCTCATACAAGTGTTTCTACTGTGTTTATAGTTAGGAGAGCAAGTTAGTGTTTTATAAAAACATGAATGGTTACTGTGGGGGTAGACTGTACGGTTTGTGGGAAGAGTAGAAGATACTGTTCACTTGGGACAGTGCTCATCTAGCATGCACAGCATCCTGAGGCCAGTCCCCAGCATGGCACTAAATGGGACAGAGTTGTACATGTCTGTAGTCTAGAGATGTACATTTGGGAGGTAGAATCAGGAGAACCACAAGTTCAAGGTTGTCTATGTTCAGAGTCATCCTGACCTATATGAAATACTGGCTCAAAAAAGAAAAAAGTTGTATCTATCCCTGTGCACCACATGTGTGACGTACTTGTAGGGGTCAGAAGAGGGTATCAGATCCCCTGGAACTAGAATTAATGTGTGGATGTGAGCCATGTGTGATAGATATGGGTGTTGGAAATGGAGCGTGGTCCTCTGGAAGAGCAAAGCAGCCATCCCTCTAGCTGCTTCCCGTCGTTTTCCCAGCGTATACGTACACATACATTCCCATACTTAGGTAAATTCAGTAAGACCAAAATGTTACATGTTGAAATGTACTTAAATTTTGCCTTCCCTCAGTTGTATTCTTTCCTCTCTTTTAAAAGATGCCAATTCTCGGAAGCAGGAAGCAGAGTGGAAAGAAAAGGCAATAAAGGAGCTGGAAGAATGGTATGCGAGACAGGATGAACAGCTACAGAAAACAAAAGCAAACAACAGGTCAGTCCACTGTGGGTCTCTGTGACTGAATCACATCCATTTTCCAGATCCACTTGTATGAAAGGTCTTGGCCAATTTGGAAGAAACTGCTAGAAACAAGCTGCAAAAACTCCTGGGTCTTATGAGAATAATTCAGCCTGGATTGAGTTGGGCTCTTAAACTGGGTTTGGTTTCATTGGCTGTAATGGTGTGATCCAGGGAAGTTAGCACTGGAGAACCCTGAGATGAAAGGTCAGTTGCAGAGTCTCATTACTTGAAAACAATTACAGACTAACTTAGGCCACATTCCATAAGTGTAGCCTTGCCCTCCTAACGAGGCTTTGTGAGGGTCCTTAGAATGGGCATGCTCTGTAATTAGGTAACTCAGGATATTCCAACATGGACTACAGAATTAAGGGTTCACTGGCTTCTTCCTATGCTTAAGGTGTCTTGAATAAAATGCTGTTTTCAGAATACATTTTTCATTTGCTGAAAGTTAATAATGTAGGGAGAAAATGCTCATTTTCCTGTCATTACCATGCATTAGCTGTGGTATGCACTCATTTTTGAGGAGCCCTTCCTTGGATAGTTTAGCAAGACACTTGTGGTATAGCCTCCTGTAGGCAAGGCATTTTAACTTGCTTTCTGCTGGATTCAGAGCCACCTTTTACTGAGTAGGAGGCATGTCACTCATTTCATTGTTTAAAAAAACAAAAATGAAACACAAGACAGACAAGGGTGGGGCGTTGGGTTGATCTCTGAGGGCTGGGTCTGGCGCTGCTTTTTGGGCTGGTCTTAGATAGAAATCTGTCAGAAAATGTAGCTGATACCATTGTGAGGTGTCTGTGACAGAATAGATGGGCTCTTTCATATGGCAGTCCTATGAAACTTCCTGTGCTTTTTTTGGTCCTCCTTGGCACTGTTCTTTGATGCCAGGCCCAGACCTCTTAACCTGGTCATTCTCTGAGGGATACACCCTAGAACAGTGTCTTCAGGTTCTATTTGAAATTTTATGTCAATTAGGGTGGAGACTCCTGTCTGGTCAGGGCTAGTTGCCACCCAGCCGCCCCAAGCTTGTGCTGTGCTGGTGTGAAGTGCTGACAGGTTCCTCTGCTTTGCCTCCTCTAGAAGATTGCCCCCCAGGTTCGAGTCTGGAAGGGTGCTGTGGTGTGGTGATATTCCCCAGCAATGATGTACTCCACAGTAACTGGGCCAAATGCACTAACTCTTCCTGTACCAGATCCTCAGGACTTCACAACTTGACAAATAGATTTCAGACTCAATAGTGAATGTATTGGGAACAGGCTTCCTGTTGCAGAAGGTTTTGCTTACTGCCTCTCTAAAGGAGTGCCCCATGTATGTTGTAGGACTTAACCTTAGAGGCTGAGGTGCTGAGCATGCAGCCAGATTGTAGTACTTTTCTTTTCTTGCAAATGTAGGGTATTGAGTTGTGTGATCCCCTCATGTTCCAGAGAGAAAAGATTTCTCATGGAGTGTTAATGTGACACTGCTACAATCCAGCTTCAGTGCCTGTCAAACCTGCTCACAGGCTGGAGTCTGTGCATAGAGCTGGAGGTACTCTAGCCAACCACCCCCAGGCTCCTAGGATAGAAGATATGTCCTCACTATTGCAGTAGTTTTGTTTATTTTTTGAGACAGTCTCTTTGTGTCGTCTGGGCTGTTCTGGGCTCTCTCTGTGAGCTCCGTCTGGCGGGTGACCTCCACCTCACAGAGAGCCCCTGCTTGTGCCTCCAGAGCAGAGGGTTAAGTTAAAGGCATGCACTGCTGCCGCTGCTGTTGCCACCACCACCACCAGGCTTCCAGTGATTTCTTCAGAGGGTCAGAGGATGGAGGTTAGGAGGCATTGCAGATCATTAGAAGTTCTAGAAATGAAGAAAGCTCTGTGGTAGAGCACTTGCCTACCATATTGCAAGGCCCGGAGTTCAGCCCACAGCACCACAGAGTGAAGGAGGAGGGTGGAGGTCAAGCCATTTATGGACTACAATCTGGCTGAGATAGAAATGAATGCTTTGTATGCACAGACCTTGTCTCAAAAAAAAAAAAAAAGAACCTCACCAAGACATTGAGAGCAAGTCCAGGCCCTGTCCTGCAGAGGGGGGTGTGGAAGAGTCAGCAGACAGGAGGGGTCTTTGTTCCCATGTCGATGGTACTGTGTTGTCAGTGCCAAACTGCATCTCCCTTTATCCTAAGTCATTCAGTGGTAGCCCATAAGAAAAAATCCTCTTTTCAGAGAGTCAGAAGAGTGGTAGTCTCCTGCAGTTCATCCTACAACAACTACCTTCCCAAGCAAGAAGAGAAACATTCCCCAATTAGAAGTCTCTTGTGTTGGGACTTTCAGTTCTACCACGGCCTGAGAACATTTGAGGAATCTAGTTATTTTTAGCCGTGGTAGACTTCTTTTTCAAACCATGTCCACTGTGACGCTATTTATAGAACGAAGTTCTAAATTGTTATTTTAGGCCTATGGAGCTTGTCCTGTTGTCAGGCATCCCTCTCTCCCTTTCCTGGGTTTCCCTGAGCTCTCTGACAGTGGCTGATTCCAGCTTCTTTTTAAGCTGGGAGAAGAGCAAACACAGGTGGGGGGCCTGTGTTTGCTGGGTTTAGTTTTCTGTTTGTCCTTTAGAGGCCCTGCTTCTCATCAACAAACTCTTTAGTTTTGGGGATAGTTGCAAAGAGGGAGAGCCTGATAGAGAAGCTTCTGTTGTTCTTTAATGCTCCTTAATGGGAGGCATTAAACCTTTATTCTCCGGTTGAAGTGAGATGGATTAGGCCGAGCCCTTCTGTAAACTAAAAGGATTAGAGTGTACACGCTGCCTGCTCTTCTGTGCCTCCCACTTACTCCATAGCAGCTGTTTCCCCGCTGAGTCACTGAGTCACAGCCAGGCTGCTCCTTTTGCTTTCTTTAAATTTGCACAAATACCTTTTATGTAGAGAAGTAGGAAAGAGTCAAGGGTGTGTGTGCATTGTAAAAATAAACTGAAACTCCACTGAAGGGTGTAGTTGAGTCAGTAGTGATTGCAGAGATCTGTGAGGCCCTGAGCTGGGTCCACAGCACTGTGTGCATACAATGGATGCCATGGAGAATACTTCTAATCCCAGCATTCCTAGGACGGGATGTGGAGGCGGGAGGATCAGAATTTCAAGGTCATCTTCTTCTACTTACCAAGTTTAAGGCCATCCTTAAGGCTACAATGTAAGACCCTGTCTCAAAAAATCAGAAATTTCCAGTTTTCCTCCTAAAACAGCCTGGCAAAGGACGGGCTGAGATTTAGGTTAATTGTGTTGTATCTTCTTGACACCTTGTATCCCTAGTTAGTCCAAGTCCTGTCATTTGATCCACTCCCACCTGAGTGTCTTTAAGACTTGATGAGGTTCGGGATTTTAAGCTACACGTTGTCAAAGCCAGCCAAGGCTGACATATGTGTTTAGAAATTGTCCTGGCTTCCTGAGCAGAAGAGAAGCCCAGGGCCAGAGTCCACGCTAGCTTCCATTTCCCTAGACCACTTCCCCTCCAGCTGCTTTTATCTCTGAGGCTGACAGTTTACAACAACCACAGGCTATTATTTAGTCCACCAAGCCAGTGTAGGGAAGCAGTGATTGGGACCAAGATTTGGGATTAAATCTCTGGGATTGTGTCCATCTGTTGCTTGGCAGTATTCATACCCAAAGATATTTACTGAGGCTGGCGGAAAGATGGCTTGCCATCTTGAGCTTGTAAATGATTTTAATTTATAGTAAGTAAAATATATGCACTAAAGCCACATTGATATTGCTGTAGCTGACCAGGACCTCATCTCTGAGCCCCAGTCACCGCACCCTTGGAGTAGGGTCAGAACACTGACAGCATAGGTGGTAATTGTTGAAGTGTGTGGAATGGCATGTAATCTATAATCAGGTTGTTGCTGGTCTTGTGGAGAGCCCATGAAGACCAGCTTCCAAGATGCCGCTGCACTGGAGTGTCAACTGCTGGAAGCCCCTGGGGTTAGAAGGGAGCCTTGGGAGCAGCTCCCCGGGCGCTGTGACACCTCTATTGTGGATTTTAGATGTTCTGCTTCTCAATGTTTTCTCTTTTTTCCTGCCTGCTTGCCTGCCTTTTGGACTTGTTGCTGTCTAGGGTGGCAGACGAAGCTTTCTACAAACAACCCTTCGCTGACGTGATTGGTTATGTGTATGTTGCAAAACTAATTCCTTCTCTTGTTTTGGTTCTTTTCGTTTAGAGTTAATGCTCCTTTTTGTCACAAGTTGCTTTGCTTTTTAAAATATTTCACATTGGCTCTGTGGGGCTGCTTGAGAGTTGATAAGCTAGATATGACCATTGCTAACCCTGCAGTATTATCATTCCCCACACTCCCTGGTGACCATTTGCATACTTGAGATCCTGGAGAGAAGCAAGCTTTCAAAACATGGTCCTTCATACTCTGTCTGGGAAGGGCCTGGGGCTTGGATGGGTCTGACCTCTTGCTGTTGCTGCCACTGGTAATGCTTCCAGACCCTGTGTCCTGCCTGTCTGCCTAAGATGGGAAGGAGAGTCTCTCACGTGGATCAGGTGATGACTAAGTAAGACTTAGGTTCCATGGACGGCAGCACCATATATTACCAGTCGGAGCTGGGGAGTTTGGGGCAGGGAGGGGAGTGCTCTTGATCCTTAAAGGATGTGAGGTGAATGTTGCTCACTCACGCAAAGTGGTTATCTGTCACTGTTTTTCTCTGGTCTTAGATATCAGAAATTGCCAAGTTGGTGGCCAGCTTCTGGTGCCCTGTCTCCTTCTAGCACAGATGCCCCCGTCAGAAGTGTCCAGTAAGAACGTATTCATTGACCCCCCACACATACACAAAACTGTCTTTCCTGGAAAAGCTTGTTTTTAATAAGGATCCTTGCTAATGAAAACTGTATTGCTGAGGACTTGGAGATAGTCCTTACTGATTTCCCTTTTACAATGGAATTAGGGGAAAAACAGTGTCCACTTGTGGAAGGTGGGTGGTAGGCGGAGAGTCTCATAGGGACCATGACCCTGAGATGCCACCTCATTAGAAGACAAAACTGGATGAGTTTGCAGTGAGACTTGTGAAATGCTGGACTTACAGGTGGTGTTTGTTTTGACTTTTACACATTCTCTGGAGTAGAAATGGAGACTGGAAAGGTTGAGTCTGGGTTTGCTGGGCAGCAGGATGGCCCAGCAAAACCAGCTGCAGGCCCCCAGGCACAGGTAGAGCTGCAAGGGCATGTCTAGCTTACTGACCATCTGCATTGAGCTCATTTTCATTTTCTATATCTGACCTAAAGTTTCTCCTTGTTTCTTTTCTTCTCTTCACCTTTAAGCACAAACATAAACCATCCTTGCTACAGCCTAGAACAGTTAAGTAAACCTTTCTCACTGCCCCTAACTGTGTGTGCCATGAAGTCGCAGTGTTGTAGTGGCTCTGAGCTTCAGCAGTGTTTGCCACAGCCATCCCTGTGATAGTGCCACCCTCTGTCCCCACAGACCGGTCATCTCCATTGCTTTTGCTTTGCCCGTGATGCTTGTTGGAGTAGATGAAATACATTGTGTCTACCACTGTCCTTTTGGGCTTTCCGCTCCTGCCAGTTAGTTCCCCACTGGGGGTGGGTTGATCTTGATGTGAAAGAATGTTGGAGTGGCATCCTGCCAAAAAGCAGCTCATGTTGGCTCTCCTGCCAGGGTATATTCCCTGAGTGGCACCAGGCACCTGGCTGGAGAGAAAATGGCAGACTTTTGGCTGAACTGGTGAATGTCTTAACAACCCCTTCCAGAATGGCTTTGGTCTCTAGTGCCTGCTAGCATGGGAGCTTGGTCTTGAATGCCTTTTGCTCTGCCCTGTTTCTCTCCAGCCTTAGGAGTAAGTTTCAGGCTCTTATACGATGACCCAAGGGCTTTTTAGAATCTCAATTCCCTTGAATCTCAGTATAGCCCAGCACAAGCTACTCTGCAAGGCCTTGATCAGCCTGCTGCCTTGCTCTTGTGCAGAAAAGCAGTGCATAGCTGGCCAAGGACTTGCGTTTTCATGCTCTGATGAACAAAGACAGCCAGAGGGACAGACTGAGCCCTGAACCAAACACCTGTATTCCACCATTTCATACAGCAGCCTGGGTACTTGTACCAAGGAGAGCTGGTCCAGTATCTGCCCCTGCTTCTGACCTGAGCCAGGGGCTGGTACTCTATAGGAAACCAGAACACCCCTGAGTCAAAAGAAACAATCACTCTGTAGTAAGTTGTAGCAAGGCAGCCGCCAGATCGATCAAAGGGTTTTTGTTTTTTACATTAAACCAACATACTTTGTTATTGCTTCCAGGGCAGCAGAAGAAGCCTTTGTAAACGACATCGATGAGTCATCCCCAGGCACTGAATGGGAGCGGGTGGCCCGCCTGTGTGACTTTAACCCTAAGTCCAGCAAACAGGCCAAAGATGTCTCTCGCATGCGCTCAGTCCTCATCTCCCTGAAGCAGGCCCCCCTGGTGCATTGAAGAGCTACCCTGTGGAAACACTACGTCTGCAATATCTTAATCCTACTCAGTGAAGCTGTTCACGTAATTGGATTAATTATGTTGAGTTCTTTTGGACCAAACCTTTTGTCTTTAGAGTTGATCATTGTTTGTGATTGCATGTTTCCTTCAACTGTGTTCTCCCTGGCATTCAGAGAAGATAGGGGAGGAGGAGGGGAGGGATGCTCCCAACAGTAGCCTCAACCCGTGCTTTTGTGCATTATTCTGAGAATAAATTTCTGTTTTAAACAATAGACATGAAACATCTTTATTGATCTCAAAATGGTGCTGCGGCTTGGGGGCATGTGAGTTCCAAGGCTAGATCGTAAAGGCAGCACAGTTTATGGCTGATGTATTCAAATTCTCTACCTGGTAACCCTGAGCCACTAGATGGAAACTCTACTTCTATACTGTGAGCTAGGAAACCCAAGTTCTCTCCCGGAGACCACCCAGGAGACCCATAAGGAAGAGCCATGCTAAGCAGAGCCTTTCCCAACTGCTGACCCACAGACATCATGGATGGCGTTACTGTTGCTTGGAATCCTTTACATCTTTCTTTGGTTACACAGCATTTACAACTCTTATTTAACCACATGTAGCTTCATAAGAGGAGGAAATGAGGGACTAGGCTGGCAATAATGCACAGGCCTTTCATCCCAGGACTCAGGAAGCAGAGGCAGGTGGATCTCTTGAGTTTGGGGCCAACCTGGTCTACATACTGAGTTACAGGCCCGCCAAGGCTGCACAACGGGACCCTGAGGTAAAAAAAAAAAAAAGGAATTGGTCCAGGGGTGATTAAGTGGATGTGCAACATTTAGTGTTAAGCTTCCTTCTTGGGGCTACCTTTTCTCTGTGTCAAACACTTAAGTGCTAGCTTAATAATGCTTTCTATTAATAGCTTCCCTCCCACTTGGTTAAGAAAGCAGTGGTACTTGATACCATAAATTATTATGTAATGCTAAAAGGAAATCAAGGCAACAAATATAAATGTCTTCTGGGAAAAGTAATGCTTTTAGCTGAATTAAGGGAAAAAAGTGTATTATAATAGTGTTAAGACTTTGACAAGGAAATACATTTTTTCTTTTCAAGGTTCAGAATCGAAACAAAATGTTTAAGATGTAATCAAATCATATGTAATAATTTATGTCAGGATATATTAACTCTTTCCACAAATGACTTAAACTAAAATTTGACTTTCAGTACCATCCATTCAAATATTTGGCCTAGAACTCAGTTAGCAGCGCTGCTGTTTGGTTTAGCCAGGCTTTGCCCCAGACACAGCTGCTTGGACAGGAAGCAGCCCCAGGTGATAGTAAGGCAGCAGTTCACCTGTGGGTCACATGACCCTTTCACAGGGGTCACATATCAGATGTTCACATTATAATTCATAATAGTGGCAAAAGAAATTTATAAAGTAGCAAGGAATTAATTTTATGTTTGGGGGTCACCTGTGTTAGGGTGGCAGCATTAGGAAGGTTAAGAACCACTGACATAAGGACTGGAAAAGTCCTCAGGGTCAACCATCTTACCCTTTTCACATAGCCAGCCCAAGAAAGAGAGCAAAACTAGAGGGATTGAGCTACATAAGTTCTCTGACACTGATGGCCCAGGTGCAGACATGAAGCTGCAGGATGTGGAATTTGTCCTGCTGGATTTTGTCCAGTGTTCTCATTGTGCCTCTACTCCCCACTGTCCCTATTCCTTGCTGTGCCCCATCTCTCACTGTGTCCTATTCCTGTGCCCCCATTGCCACCTTTAGAAGAGGAATGTATACTCTGCCATTGTGGGTTGTATTTGAGAGATTACCTTATGTCTCAGAAGGCACTTTGGACTTTGGAATGGTGTTGAGACTGGTAAAGACTATGGGACTTTAAAGATGGACTAAGTGCACTTTGAGTTATGATATGTCCATGTGTTTGCAAAAGCTGGGAAGTGGATGTGGAAGTTTGAATCAGAATGTTCTCCATAAGCTTAAGTTGGTGCTGTTTGAGGTGGTTCAGCCTTGCTGGAAGAAGTGGTCCCTTGGGGGAGGGGAGCTGAGTTCTGGGTTTGTAGTCTTCCCTGACTTTCAGTTCACTTACCTTGCTTGTTGCTTGTAGTTGAAGATAGAACTTATTAAGCTCCCTGCCCTGGCCTCCTGCAGCTGTGCCTTCCCTCCAGTTATGGATTCTCTCTCTCTCTCTAGAACTGTAAGCCAAAAGAAACTTCCTTCTGTAAGTTGCCGTGGTCAGTGTTAGCACAGGATAGAGTAACTAATACAGTGACACTTGTTAGCCTTATTTCAGGGGACAGTTAATAAGCAGAACTTTTGACTCAGTATTCTGTCATCAATGAAAGAACATATTTTAAGCTGGGTGTGGTGACTGTCTGTAATCCCAGCACTCTGGAAGCTGCTGCAGGAGGATTGTTCTGAGTTTAAGATGAGCCAAGGTTCGGAGTGAGACAGGTCAGATTCTGTCTCAATAACAAACACAACGAAAAGAAAGCACAGATTCTAATTTAGTCAGAATCCAGATTTGTCACACACACACACACACACACACACACACACACACACACACACACACACACACACACACACACACACACACACTGACATTCTGGGTCATGGAACAGTGAAAAGCAGAAGGGGCAGAAGGATCTGAGGATCTGCTTAGGAACAGAACCTTTATGGAGAGGACAGCGGCTCCCCTTCCAGGAGCACTAGTCCTGCTTGCTTTCTCTGTAACGCTAAGACAGTCCCTAAGGCCACCATGATTTGGACCCCAGTCTTAAGTGTCTCGTAAACTCCAGAGTAACTGGGCTGTGGCACACACCTTTAATCCCAGTGACAGGCAGATCTCTGTGAGTTCCAGGATTGTCAGGGCTATACAGAGAAACCCTGTCTTGAAAACAAACAAACAAGCAAAAACCTTCTAAAGCAAAGCATCTTTCAGTAGACATGGGGTGTGACATACCTATCTGTCCAGTCCCTTGACTCTGGTAGCTGTTTCCCAGGAGTATGCCTACGGGAAAAATGGTGAAATGTATAAAGTTATGTTGTTTGAAAACTGAGCAGGCATTTCCGGGTGAGCTTTTCTTCATTGTGTGACAGGATCTCCTCTTTCTGTAGTCTGAGGAAGGACTGTTAACCCAAACCTTCGCATGATGCTAGCATTCCAAAGTCTACAAGGAGCCTAAGGCTTCAGGGTTAGTTGCTGTTGCTCTTTTGGTGCAGGAAGTGTCCCTGGAACCCACAGCATTTGCAGTACAATGACCCCATCAGCGCAACCTCTGCAAAGGCTCATGGGAAAGGTGTATTTGGAAGGTGTGATGCTATTCTTGATTGTCAACTTGATTACATCTGGAATGAACTAAAACCCAAGAGGCTAGGGAGACCTGGGAGGGATTTTTAATTAAATCATTTAAAGTAGAAAAAGCCACTTTAATCTAGGTCACACTTTCTGGTGAGAGCCTATATAAAGGACATGGAAGAAGGAAGTGACTGCTTTTTGCCTGGTTGCCCTCACTCTCCATTCACTGGTACTGGAGCCTACTTCACAACTCTGATGTGTACTAAGACCAGCTGAGACATCCAGCCTCACAGATTTCCCTTGGGAGACAGCCACTGTTGGACTGGCTGGACCTCAGCCTATGAGCTATTCTAGTAATCCCCTTTATGCAGAGAAATTCATACTATCACTCATTCTTTCTGGAGAACCGTGACATTACAGAAGGGAAGACAAAAAGCAAAGATACTTCTGCTGGAGATTAAATATCAAATTTGCCTTTTAAAAAATAAGATTTATTTTTAATTATGTGTTCGTGGGGGAGGGCTATGTACATTTGAGTGCAGATGCCCTAGGCGGCTGAGGCATAGGATCCGCTGGAGCTTGACTTTCAGGCAGTTGAGCTGCCTGACATGAGTGCTGGGAACAGAACTGGGTCATCTTCTGCAAGAGCAATTCAGGCTCTTAACCACTGAGCCATCTCAGCAGCCTCCCAAATTTGCCTCTGAAGAAGTACTGATCTAAAAGAACCTGGTTCCACTAAGTAGCTCTTGGGTCTCAGTCCATGTCCACTCCCAGGAGGCCTAGTGGATCCTGCGGGTTGTGTAGTCCAGAACCATGCTGGCAGCACCAAGCAGGGCAGGGTCAACCAAGTCTGAAACCACGACGTCCACATCCTGCACGGAGGACAAGGCTTGCTGGCGGATGACGTCCTTGACAATGTGGATGTAGTGACTGGCCAGGACTCCAGACAGGATCACCAGGGAAGGATTCATAGTGTGGAGGATGTTCACAACCCCAAGTCCCAAAGCAGTTCCAGCTGGAGGAGAGCAAAGAGTGGAAAAGTTGCCAGGAAAATGCTAAACACTGGCATGTTTAGCTATGTTTAAAAGCTGTCCATGAAGGCCAGGTGTGGTGGTGCACAGCTTTAGTTCTACCACTCAGGAGGCAGAGGCAGGTGGATCTCTATGAGTAGGCCAGCCTGGTCTATCTATGCAATGAATTCTATAGAGAGACTCTGTCTCAAAAAACCAAAAACCTGTTTGTGACTTACTCTTTCTTACATCTTTTTGTTTTCTGTTTTGAGACACAGTAATCCAGGCTGCCCTCCACCTCTCACCATCTTCCTGCCTCAGCTCCCAAGTACTTGAATAGAAGCTTTGAGCTGGCTCTTTTTTTTGTTGTTTTGTTTTGAGACAAGAGTCTCACTGCATGGATCAGAACTTCTGGGATCAAGCAATTTTCCTACCTCAGCCTCCTGAAAAGAGAGTCCTCTAGGAGAGTGCCATGATTTTTTTCTCTTTATTGAGACAGGATCTCATTCTGTATCCCAGGCTGGTCTTGAACTCACTTAGTAATGCATGCTGCTACCTAGATATCTAGAGCTGATGTTCTATCTTCCCTAGGCCTCTCAGCTACCATCTTTCTCAGTGTCAGCACAGACCACAAAGTAAGATGCCATCTGAGAAAAAGAGAAGGAATGGGGGTCTAGTTTAGTGGCAGAGTGCCTGCCAGAATATATACAGCCCTGCGTTCATTCTAAGCACTGCAAAGATAGGTAAACAAAACTGTATGCATACTGTAAGATGTAGTCTTAATTATGTAAACATTACAAGAACAAATAGACTGGAAAGACATTCTAATAGTGATTCTGAGTGGTAAAACTCAAGATAGCTTTTCTTACTACTATCCTATACTTCTCTAAAAACCTATGACATGAACAAGTATTTTCAGTATAAAACAAGAATCAAAAAACATTTAAAGGC